GATAATTTGGACGTAACGCATGTTAAAAATAAAAGTCGACGGCGTTCCCGATTATTAGTGACAGAAATTAAATCAATTGAATATATAACAAATATAGCATATATTAACGTATTATATTAAGTAACGATTGTTATACGGGCGGCGGCACTCACCTCGGTGTTTGGAAATGGACATATCAATATAAGAATGAACTAAATGAAATTTGATGATTTCTCCTCATGTAACGTATTAACTATCAAACTTAATGTATATATGTTTGTGTTGATAATATGGGTACAGAGGTATATGTATATATATATTTAATATAGCATAGAGTATGTATGTTGATGCCACTACATGGAGGTATATATATTAGGGAGTATTAGTTTCTTAGCCGATGAGGTTTGCTATATAGATAGGATATCTGATGCAAAGTCGACTAAAATAAGATAAGATCAACTTGTTTTTTTATTTCTTTATCTCAATTAGTTTTGTTTTAGTTCAAATTTTATTCCAAGAATATTTTCGCCGTTATTTTAAGGACTAATATATAAGACTGATTTATGTGATATAATTATTAAATTTATTATTTTAATTTCTAATCTAAACTGGTAAGATCACAAAACAATTATCTTAGTTTTTTATTAAAAAAAAATTAGACCGGTTTTTGGGGCATTACCCTATCACCCATTTCAAGCTGTGTTACAAATAATATGCTCAAGAATCAACCCCTAAAGCTCTTGAAATTTGAAAGTAATGGAGTAATTCTCAAGCATTCGACTTAATAATAAAACATAATAATAAAACATGTGAATATTAACAAACATTCTAACATTCAATCATACACGTAGGGGGAGCTATCAGGATTGGGAAACATGGGAAAGTGAAAATGCTAATAATTGCATATTAAATTCAAGGGCAGTAGAAGGCTAACCTTGAAAAAAAAAGATAAGTGACAAAGGTTGGATGGAAAACCTTGGTTGTGACGGCCCTAATGGTGGAGAACATGTTTCAAAAGCGTAGTGACAATAACTAGAAGAGCAAGTGAGGAGAATGATTCAGCTAAAAGGGTATTTATAACCTTCAAGCCCGGGTTAGGTTGGAATTTGAAGGGGCACAATGATGAATTTGAGGACTAGTGTGTGACATGGCTCAATAAGTGTCATGTGTTGAGTTTGAGTAATGGTTGAAATGATTGATGACCGATTACTTCCTGCATGTGTTGTAAATGTGGAAGGTGTGACCAACACACCAACAGGCAAACAATGTGCACTCGACTTGTTATGATGATGTGTCAGACACGCCAAATGATGAAGGAATACCTCCCATTTGATTTAGTCCCTTGACCGCTGAACCGTAAAGACATTTAATGCTCCTCTGTCCCAACCACCTAGGTTCAAGCCCAACTGCATATTATTGGAAGCACATATACTAGGGATCAAGAAACCCGCATACATAGCCACGAGGCCAAGAGTTGTATAAATTTACCTCATTGGTAAGGAATCAAACTCGACATCGCCACACAGTGACACAAATCACACATGACATTAATTAAGAATGGGGAATCCTATGTGTCCAACCACTAGCCCCGCACAGACCACGATTCTAGAATTGAATAAGCCAGAACTAGAGGCTACATGCCTTGGGTTCAGACCCAGGGTTGCATCGAACGAGGATGGGCCCAACCCATATGATAAAAATTAACAAATACCCCCTCCACCCAATGCACGAGAAGATTTGGAGAGCTTAGAGAGGTAATAACACTGTATAGCAACGTTTAAAGTGAAAGGTACACGATGAACATGAAGAAACTTGATATACCCAACGAATAGCGTGAAACACACTTTAAAATTAAATTTATTTCATCGTATACCGAAATACTTTCATTGGATAAGATGTTATATCCAAAATGAGTATGGAAGTTATGTCTTACTGAAACATACCCTAGGACTTTATATATAGAGAGCACAAACTAATGGGGCGCGTCTGTTGACGAAACAACATAACTTTATGCAAAACATTTGCATATTTTGGTTAAGGCATTCAATTGTACTGTCACAATGCTTGTACGGATAATAACGGATGTGGTAGATGAACGGTCCTGGAAAATAATATTTAATAAATTCTGAATTTATAATTTATTGAGAATATTACAAAGACTTGCCTAACGCGGCAGAGGCTTTGGCTAGTAAGGAAGCACTTAGTTAGAGCAAAGACGCCTCTTAGCCCAAATCACAATTGAATTCTTAGCCCAAATCACAATTGAATCCGACTCTCTCGAAGTCATTCAAGCCCACCAACAACCATATGTCGATGATATCTCTCATGTTTCCCATATTCTTATAGATTGTAAATCTCTGCCCCCTTTATTCGAAAGAAAAATTTCTTTTATTTTTGCTTTTCATTCAGGGAACTCGATTGCCCACCTTCTACTTAAAGCAATCTGTTCACCTTTGGGTACTGGAGACTGGTGTAGAATTTCAGGATAGAATGACTTACCTTCTCATTACACGATAGGTCCAAATAAAGTAAATTCTATACACTATGCCAAAAACAATATCAAATGACTGTTGATTAACTACTGTTTATGGAAACACAGTAGTTAAAAAAACAAACTACTGTGAGTTTTTCTTGGCTACAGAACAGTAGTCTAGCTACTATGCTTTAAAACTGTTTTTAAAGTTTCGAGAAACGGTAATATATCACTAGTTTTCTGTGTCATTTCAAAATACAATTTTTGTTGCAACAGTTGTCAATAACAAGATAAGAATACTCTATTTAAACAGTAGTATGATGTTTTAGTCTAGAACTGTTTTTAAACTTAGTAGAAACAGTTATCTATTGCTAGTTGTCTGTTTCATATGATTTTTTTGTCACTGTTGTTTCTAATGGGAATAAAACACTCTTTTGTAACAGTTGTCTATGAATTAAGGGTAGAAGTGTTTTTAAACTTGTCAGAAACGGTAATCTTTTATTAGTAGTCCGTTGCACCTAAAAATACAGTTTTTGTTGCCACAGTTGTCAATAAATAGTTAAGACTACTATTTCTAAACAGTAGTCTGTTTTTTTAGTTTATAACTGTTTTTAAACTTATAAAAAATAGTATTATATTGTTAGTTGTATGTTTCATATGGTTTTGTTTTTCATAGTTGTTTATTATAAGAATAGAAGACTCCCTTGTAACAGTAATATATTTATATAGCGTAGAACTATTTTTAAAATTCATAGAAACCGTAATCTATTACAAGTTGTTAATAATAAATTAAGAATACCCTTTTTAAATAGTAGTTAGACTATTAATCCTAGAACTATTTTCAAAGTTTTGAGAATTCGTAATGTATTACTAGTAGTGTGTGTCACACCGTTTTTTTTCACGGTTATCTATAATAAGTAAAGAAAACTATTTTTAAGACAATTATGCGTATTAAGCCTAGAACTATTTTAAAAGTTAAGAATATTCGTTTTAAATAGTAGCCTAGCTCTTAAGCCTAGAACTATTTTAAAGGTTCAGAGTAATGGTAATCTTTTTTACAATGAAAATGGATACGCTCTCTAACATTACTTTCATACTTTCGGACAATATATGTACAACAATCAAATAAACATTGTTTCAAACAATTATATGGATATGAAAAAATAAACACTTCCATTGAAACGAAAGAAAAAGTACATGGACAGGCTGGGTACTGTCCCGCTACCACTACTACAAAATAAACTTTACACAACGGATAAATATGACTTTTCCCATCGCAAAATATCCGAAGTGCATGCAACCGTTGGGAAAGCCTTCATGTTTACACAGCGGATAAATATCCTTTGTGTATAGTTTACACATCGGATATATTATCCGATGTGTATTCCTTCAAAAATCTAAATGAAAACTACACACACACACACACATATATATAGATTTATTTATTTATTTATGAAAGTATTTTTATTAAATGAAATATGAAATAGAGAAACAAGTACAATAGGGGAGGACCAAACCAAAGCCCCTCGAGAAAAGCTAAAAACTATTCCCCACATCAAAAACATTGCCCAAATAAAAACCAAAACCAAGGGCTACATATCATAGTCGAACCTAGATAAACATACACCAAAGCTGGTAAAATAAAATTGAAACCAAACCCAAGAATTGATAACCAAACAACCATATTTAGAAGCTAAATTCTAGGATAACCAACTGAGCTTGTGTGTGACAAACTGCATCATGAACCTGCTGGTGTTTGTAGCCTTGTTCTTCACTGCCTTCCTTGCATTGCTTCGGCTAGGACTGCCCACGTTGTACTGGTTTGTCCATGGAGCTGTAATGGTTAAGTGCTGATGAATAGGACACAACCCATAGAATGACCCCCCCAAACAATAGAAGTTTCGCAAGTAACACTACAACTGAACATTTGACATATAAAAGCTTCCAAACCAGAACTACTATGAGACTCAGCTCCCTGATCCAAAAGAAAAGGTAAGTTCAATCCAAACAAAAAGGTGCAAGTAAGATTTCTCGATTTCCCTTCACCAAATACTAAGTATCAATTTCAAGTTAGATTAAAGCCACTTATCTATCATGCTAGAGGATCCAAAGGCAAACATCCTATATCGGGTTAAAAAAACGTATGTCGAGCATCTGCAACAATCTATGAGAACCAAATAGAGTGATAAGGTCGAACCTAGCATAGAACCAGGCCCAAAGCCATGACGAAGAACAATTAGCACTATCACCGCATCTAGAAAATCATCTGTCAGAGTATACTCCCAAACTACAGAATAAAAGCTCTTCTCTAAACATAAAAATTTAGAAGATTGCAAGAGTTGATTATCGCTATTACATAATATAATATACTCTGTAATTTAAAATCAATCCCTATTTTGCAGCATTTAAACAAAATATATAACCTAGAAGAAGAAAAGAGCTATGCAGACAAAGGCTTCAAGGCTGTAACAGATTCTATCCAAGTTTCTGAATGCTAACTCCCACTCTGACAGGGCTAGAGTCAGATGCATATGGCTTTCCAATACATGGAGGTTTTTAGAACAGGATTGCAGTTGAACCATAAGGAAAAAAGAAACATTAAATCGAACCAAATACTTAAAAATTGCAGATTGAGACACTAAATCGAACCAAAAAAGAAACATTAAATCGAACAAAATACTTAAGGTTGTAAAGCCATTACCTTGTTGGCCTTCAGGATGAATATCATATTCCTTCGATCTTGTCTCCTTTCTAGGACTTGAAGAAAAGATCCTTTAGGGCTAGGTCTAAATCTAAGAAAGATGGATCGCTTAGGTTTTGTCTTGACTGGACAATCTATGGATCCATCCAAGGTGAATTTAGACAACGTATTGAGAAGAACTTCTTGTATTCCCATTGAAAAGGGAAAATGATTAGGAGTTCCAGTGTATATGGTCAAGGCTGAATTGGAAGAACACAAGAAACAAGAATAGCCAGAAACTCAGTAAATGAACATAAATGTCTTTCTAAAGAAGATTCATGTATCAAAGTCTTAAGGAAGATAATATGAAGCCATACCTGAACTTATAGTCTACTCAAATAAAATTGACAAAATTTGTTTTTAAAACCTACGGTAAAACTAGTAGGTGTGAACAAAATTTGATTCTTTCATATTTTTTAGATAAAAAAAATTATAAAATAAACTGATCTAAAAGTATATCAATAAAAAATCAAAAATCAAATTGAGGTATTAAAAATTAAGCAAATAAATCCACATAATTGAACAATTAGAATAATTTCAATCACATAATTGAAATTATTCAGAGTACTTTCAAGAGATATGCAAAGAAATTCACATAATTGAATCATTAGAGTATTTTCAAGATAAAGTAAAACCTGTAAATTGGAGGTAGTAGAGATTGGGGTTGTGATGTTGGCTTCACACGGCGGCTGAGGCAGGCATATGCACCGTCGATAAGTGGGATGGACCGGGATCGTGGTACTCTATGAAGATCGGAAGACCACTGCCCGGTGTCGAGGCATCGACGAAGAAGATAAGAACGACGGCTCNACCTGAACTTATACTCTACTCAAATAAAATTGCCAAAATTTGTTTTTAAAACCTACTGTAAAACTAGTAGGTGTGAACAAAATTTGATTCTTTCATATTTTTTAGGTAAAAAAAATTATAAAAAAAACTGATCTAAAAGTATATCAATAAAAAATAAAAAATCAAAAATCAAATTGAAGTAACAAAAATTAAGCAAATAAATCCACATAATTGAACAATTAGAATAATTTCAATCACATAATTGAAATTATTCAGAGTACTTTCAAGAGATATGCAAAGAAATTCACATAATTGAATCATTAGAGTATTTTCAAGATAAAGTAAAACCTGTAAATTGGAGGTAGTAGAGATTGGGGTTGTGATGTTGGCTTCACACGGCGGCTGAGGCAGGCATATGCACCGTCGATAAGTGGGATGGACCGGGATCGTGGTACTCTATGAAGATCGGAAGACCACTGCCCGGTGTCGAGGCATCGACGAAGAAGATAAGAACGACGGCTCTGGCTCCAGGCATGAAGGAATGGCGAAGTGGTGAGAGATAGGTTTTTTTGCGGATAATGAAAATATTAGGCGGGCAATGAAAAATCTGGAGGGATTCTAAAATTTGAGATGAAGCCTTAAATTTTTAAGAAGGATAAAGCTATTTGTACCCCATGTTTTGTACCCCGTAGCTTTGCACCAACACTTTGTGTTGGTGTAAAACTAATTTTTGTTAATGCACCAATAATTTGTGTCCGTGTAAATTTCTGTTAACGCACCAACACTTGTGTCCGTGTAAACCATCAAAATGTTTGTGTATAATTGCAGTGTACAAATGGGGTACAATTTGTGGTGTAAGTGTAGCATAACCCTTTTAAGAATATTAACTAGATCTGATTGACAAGTATAGATTTGGAGGTAAACTTTAAGAATATTAAAATTGTATAGAAAATTGACAAGTAATTTGATTTTTTTGAAGACTAGATCTGATATTATTGGATTTGAATTTGATTTGATCCGATTAGATCTATTTTGGTCTGAATCAATCTAATTAGATCCGATTTGAAATGGATTTTTTTAATATTTGATCGGATCTTACTAGATATGAATTTGATTTGATATTTTTGAAGAATATATATGATATTATTGGATTTGAATTTGATTTAATTTGATCTGTTTTGGTCTAATTCGATCTAATTTGATCTGATCTTATGCATTTATAGATTAAATCAGGCAATCAAGACACGACCTATATAATTAATTTGTTTTTTTGAAGATTTGATCTCATCTTAATAGATTTGAATTTTAATTGATCTGATCAAATCTATTTTGGTCTGATTCAATCTAATTAGATTTGATATGATGTATTTAAAGATTAGATCAGGGAAATATGACACGACCTATACTATTAAATTGATTTTTCTTAATATTTGATCTGATCTTACTAGATTTGGATTTGATTTGATTCAATATTTTTGAAGATTAGATCTGATCTTATTGGACTTGACTTTGATTTATTTCGATTAGATCGGTTTTTGTCTGATTGAATCTAAATAGTCCGATTAGTTATGTTAAAAACTCTTTTAATTTGATCTAGTCTAATCTGATATGATGAGATCTGATTTCATTAGATATCATCTAAACAACATATACACATGTTAAATTGAGATGGAGTGGCTCAAATGAAATATGCAAGCAATAAGATCTGATTGAATTTGATTTGATCTTATCTTATCTGATTAGATCTAATATGCTTGATCTGATTCTAGTTATATTTAAAAATTCTTTCTAATTTGATCTGCTTTAATCTGATTTGATTAGATATCATCTAAACAACATATAAACATGTTAAACTGAGATGCACTAGGTCGCATGAAATATACAAGCAATCAGACCTGATTGGATTTGATTTTATCTTATCTTATCTTATCTAATAAGATCTAATCTTGACTGGTCTAATTGATTTTTTTAATATTTGATCTGATCTTATTGGATTTGACTTTGATTTATTCTGATTAGATCTATTTTTGTCCGATTTGATCTAATTAGTCCGATTAGTTATGTTAAAAACTCTTTTAATTTGATCTAGTCTAATATGATATGATGAGATTTGATTTCATTAGATATCATATAAACAACATACAAACATGTTAAATTGAGATGTAGTGGCTCACGTGAAATATGTAAGCAATAAGATCCGATTGAATTTGATTTGATCTTATCTTATCTTATCTGATTAGATCTAATCTGCTAGATCTAATTCTAGAAGATTGATCTGGTTTAATATAATTTGATTAGATATAATCTAAACAACATATAAACATGATAAACAGAGATGCAGTGGGTCGCATGAAATATATAAGCAATCAGACCTGATTGGATTTTATTTTATCTTATCTTATCTTATCTTATCTCATCTAATTAAGATCTAATTGGAATAGATTTAATCTCCTTGATCAAATTGTAGTTATATTTAAACAAAATTAATTCGATTTGATTTTATCTTGTTTAATGAGATATGGTTTGATTAGATATCATCTAAACAACATATAAACATGTTAAACTGAGATGCAATGATCTGATTTGTTATAATTTTATCTATCTGTGTTTTTTTGAAATACAATAATCTTTTAGAAATAATAATATTTTGAAAGTATTTTATAAAATAAATATAAAATTATTTGGTACCAATATCTAAAGTCAATTTTATTTTAGTGGTCAGAGTTTATGAATTTTGCCGTAAAAGACCGATCGGTACTAACTAATCAAGAGAATTAATACGGACTAGGTGGAACCTATAATTGCTTGTTAAATGATTAGAAAAATTATACTGTTAGGTAGGGATTGATGAATTGAATCCAACGATGCAAACGGATCTCAATTCGGAGCAAGTTGGCCCGAAAGGTGTGTTTTACTCAGACACGTTATTTTAAATTACAGAGAGCAAAACCCTAGGCATATATATACTCTTTTCACGCCTCTTTCTTCCCCTATCGAGACACGCTGCCACTAGACCTAGCCAGTTTTCCTTCTCTGACGAACTCCGATCACCGTCCCCCACAGCAGGCTCCGGCGACTCCCTCTGTCCCGGCGAAGTCCAGCAGCGACGGGGAAGGGCGATGTCGCGAGGCCAATCGACGTCTAAGAATGGAGAATTTCCGATCAGACAGAGGGGTGGTGGTGATGATCTCCACCGGCGACGAGGGTAACAGCGGCGAGAAGGGGGGGAGTGGCCTCCATCTTTTCCAGTGAATTAAACAGTGGGGAGTCCAGCGAGCATCCTCTGCTCTGGCGAAAATAGCAGCAAAGGTGTCTAGAAGGTAGGCCGGCGACGGCGTCTGGGCAGCGACTCTGGCGATATATGCTATATCTGCAATGTCTCTTTTCACTACCCAATCGCCAACTGGAGTTGTGAGTTTCCTTCTAGTTTCAATCGGATCTGTTAAGAAAATGTAAATGTCGCTAGGCTTTTCTCACTAAAGCCTAACAGTTGTGGATTTATGAAAAGCTACAAATTCTGCATCTATTGTGATTTAGCTTTGATTGTGAATAGATGTCTGTTGCGGCACAGCATGCTTAATGAGACTGTTTGACTCATTAGAGTATATTAAGGTCTAATTTATGAACTATTTAGGATAATTGTTGGAGCTGTTTTAAGGTCATGTGTGTGTTTTAGTATACTCATAGGTAATATCTTCTATTGTAAATTTCATCACATACCGGGAATAGTAGAAGCTAGAGTTGAGAATATTAACGAATGATGGAGTGTGTTGCAGGCTGGAAGCAGTGCACTGGCTGTGGGATCCAACAATGTGAATGAGAAATATTTGAAGTGTATCGTTCTCACTGGTAAAAAGAAATATTTGATCTGTTCTCCTTCCAACTTGCATCCTTGTCTACATTTTCAAGTGTATCGTATATATATTACTGAATACATATTTTTCTGAAATGTTTGTAGGATTAAGTCATCCCTTAACACACTTACTTCTCAATTAAAATTCTACTCAATTGATTTTCTTGTTGTTATTGAGCCAATTTTGGCTCCAAATAAGTTGGACTCCTGGGATGTTCTTAACAACAAGGTCTGGATATTTTACAATAACGCAAGACTCTTTCTTTGAAAAATCGATGAGCTTGATCAATTGGTCAATTGTACTTTTTGGGAAATTTCTAGTAGAGTATATGGAAAGCACATAGGAAGAGAAAGAAGAACACTCTTGAAAAATATTATTGACACCTCTGTCATTTCACACCAATGGTTTATTGGCAGTGATTTTAATACGATCACTTGTTTAAGTGAGCATAAAGGCAATACTCCTAATCATATTGATATGACTGCAGATTAATCACAAACCTCTACTAGTCACTTGCATGAAGGTTCTTTTCCTCGGTTAGGTTAATCTTTTGGTGATTCAACTCATATATGTTTTGCCTGCAGAGTATCATGGTCACAACGGCATCAAGAATTGAAGGTCTATATTCCCCTGATTCAATGCTGGATGTTATTGAGGGGACAAATAACTAAATTAAGCATGCTCAATGGACAATTAGAATGTGATTTTAATTATGTAAAGATTAAATTATTGGATGCTATTAAGATTTTGGATTGTATATTTGTATGTATTTAGATATTATTCAATATATTGTACATTTTGGAATTTATTTTTGTTTCATGATCAATATTTTAGAATTGAAATAAATTTTAATTATTAAATATAATTGTAAATTGAAATATAGTAGTCTTTCAAAAAGCTTTACAATGTATTTAAACAGTTTTCTAAATCTTTAAAGGATGACTACACAAACTTGAATTGTTAATAAACGTTAGACAATTTAAACAAACAGTTGTATGAAATACAACAAATAAGGTTGTGTACATTTTAAAAATACAACACATAATAGCAGTTGTTTATGCAAACATACTTAGTTGTCTTCGGCGCAGTAGTCTGATTTATAATCTGACTAGTGTGTAAAATGATAGTTTGAATATTTCAAGGACAACTACAAAAAAACGCAGTGTTATTGAGCACTATACAACTGAAAGAAACGGTTGTTTAAAATATAGCAAAATTAGTAGTCCATATTCTAGAAATACAATAAAAGATAACAGTTGTCTAATCCTATTTTTGTTTAGTAGTCTTCCGAGCAGCAGTCTGATATATCTTTCAATTACTTTTTAAAGTAGATGTCAATATTGTTGAACGACAACACCAAGAATTAGGAGTCTGAAGTTAGAAACAACAGTAGTATTCATTATAGATAGACAACAAAAAATCACAGTTATCTTTAACTCTAAAAAACAGATGTCTTACTCATATGGGGACAACACTAAAAAGTGGTACTCTAAAACATTACAAAAAAGGTGTCGTCAACCATTTTACACAATTGTTTTTAAACAATAGTCTGTAAATATATCAGACAGCTACTCGGAAGACTACTGAAATCAGCACCGAGAGACTACTAAAATAAATAGTTGTCAGCATCTGTTTTTGACGTAGTGATAATTTGTCCTTTATACCAGAGGGTTTCCATATTTAGTTCTCCATTATCAAATATTATCTCCGTAGTCCTTATATAGGTGCCTTTCCACAAATGTTTTTTTATCTTCTACAATGTTGGTGTTAATTTAAAGGCTAAAATTATAATTTGACACCAACATTATGTCCAATGAGATATTCTGATATTGGTTAGATGAATAACATAAAAATAATGGATATGATTGGGGGATAGAATTTCGATGAAAGATCACATTTGTAGACTATACTTGTAGTAGAATGCAACTATAATTTGCAAATGACGCATCAGGAGCGGCCTTTGGAAATATGTACGATAAGAAAGAGTTATTATCATTGTGAAATTGCGCTTTTAGCCATCAAATTAACACTACCATGATAGAAGATAAAAAAGGACTATTTATGAAAAGATACCCATAAAAGAAGGACCACCCAGGCAATATTTGATAATAGAGGACTAAATTGGTAAACCTCGCTGTTATAAAGGACCAATTATGGAATTTACTCGTCTATATATATATATATATATATATATATATATATATATATATATATATATATATATATATATATATATATATATATATATATATATATATATATATATATATATATATAGACGAGTAAATTCCATAATTGGTCCTTTATAACAGCGAGGTTTACCAATTTAGTCCTCTATTATCAAATATTGCCTGGGTGGTCCTTCTTTTATGGGTATCTTTTCATAAATAGTCCTTTTTTATCTTCTATCATGGTAGTGTTNGATAGTTCTGGTAACGATTGATATATATATATATATATATATATATATATATATATATATATATATATATATATATATATATATATATATATATATATATATATATATATATATATATATATATATATATCAATCGTTACCAGAACTATCTGTTATACAAGGCGTGCAACTCTAGAGGGGGGGCGAATAGAGTTGTTGAGAATGATTACCGATTTTCGCAGAATTAATAATATAAACGTAAGTATAGCAAAAATAAAAGAAAGAAGGCAAAGAACATACCGATGTATACTGGTTCACCACCTCGTGGCTAGTCCAATTCACCGAGAGACTCTCTCAAAGCTACCACTACTTCCGTTAAGCTTACGGGTGCTTAAAAAACCGTTTACAACTCAAGAACTAGAATCCCACAAGCCTCGACACAACCGCTCGTAGATATGCCCTCTACAGGACTTTACAACCAAGACTTAAGTCACATAAGTCTTATGCAACAAGAAGAATAATCTTCTTCAACCTCTCAACATAAACTCTCAAAAGAGTAGAAATGAGAAATGATTAAAGCTCTAATGGATGACAGGAAACCTCTCTTGAAAACAAACATAATTTTCTCTCAAAATAATACAAATTTGAGGAATGATTGATGGAGGATTACCACCTCAAGAATGGGGAGTATTGGAGTGTTTCTTATATTCAAAAATAACCAATGAAGGGTGTTTAAATAGGAGGTGAAGAAATATATTCGTTGGTCCAAGAAAAGAAGCTGTGTTGAAAAGATGCAGCAAAATAATCAATTAATGCATCACCATAATCGATTAGTGCATCATAAAAATTGCTTAAAGCAGCTGAAAAAATCGATTAAATTCGTTAGAGCAAAATTCCTTGTGCGCAGAAAAGTGATAATCGATTAAAGCCAAAGGTGTTAATCGATTAGTTCCTTCTGGACCAGATAATTGATTAATTCCAGAGGTAATAATCGATTATTGCAACAATAATGCCCTGACATGACGAACACAAGCATGTGGGTGAGTTGGAAGGACAAAATGGAGTTTATAGGATTGTTTCCAACAAGAATATCAGGGGTAAGGCTCCCCATCACCTCAAACATTATTCAAAAATAAATTTTGAATAAATGAAAGATATTTGGAGTGTAGAAATTGAGTCCCAAAAATATTTTGTATGTCAAACGAAGAACACGAAAATATTTGAATAAAATATTTTTGCTTTCCAAAAATATTTTCTAATATCAAAATAAAAAATTTTATAAATGTTTGACACACTTTTTGTAACTGACTCAATAAATCTATTTTGAACAGTTAAAAGGATTTTTCAACTCACTCCAAAATTAAATATATTTTTATTTTAACTCTCATAAAAAAATTTGGAGAGAAGATATTTTTTCATCCTTACAATAAATCCTAAGACTCAAATAAATAAAAAGTCTTCAGAAATCTTCTACTCTTCCGAGTCCTCCGTTAGGCGCTCCGAACGCGTCTCGGACTCCAATAAAATACTGTGCACCTTCTTGAATACTTCAAGGAATGGAACTTCAAGTCTTCGTGTTTGTCGATGTAGCACTTTGATCTTGACTTAAATAAATTGTGTTTGTCAATTATCAAAACTTGTGAGTCAACACTTAACAACACAGAAAGGGTTGAACTCATGCATTCCAACACTATATAAAGAAACCTACACTACAAATGACACATAAAATTGGCATGGAAATCTAGGCCTTCACCGAGAAAAAAATAAAGCCACACAACGTGTTTTAATTCATGAATGAATTGGCTCTACATTTTCCGTGCCTAAGCCCGTGCCAATAGGGTAATAGTGAAACTGTAACCGATTTTGTTCGACGTTGTTAACTCCATTACATAGGCATGGAATACATCATTGAAAATTCGTGCCTTTTCCAAAAACTTCCATACGTAAAAGGCAAGGCTTTTTGTCACGACTATTTTCGTGCATAAAACGGTCTCATTTCAATTCCTAGACATTATTTTATGTATTACAATAATAAAGAAAAGTTTTCTACGGAGTCTTAAAACATAATCATACTCATAGAAAAAAAGTTTTATATTTGAAATAGATTATAATTCGAAGATAACAAAACTAAAATTATAGAAAATTACACGATACACTTTATTTAAAGATGAAATACAAAACAACAAACTACAATAGTAGGACATTATAAAAACTTATCCAAATAAAACATCTACATCAGTTAATAACTTCTCTAGGTCTGGTAGCACTATGCGATCTATCTTCATCATTCCCGTCTTTTGGTTTTTGAATCGGAAGTCTATCAAAATATCGAAATAGTTTCTCTAGCCTTCTAATCCTTTTTTATGTGTAAGATATCTTTCAGAAAATGTTTCATTATTTTTTTCTCCACGAGAATCATCTTTTTTTCCATAATAATAGTTCTAATACTTGGAGCAACAAGAAAAAAAAGGATGCAAGGGAATATATAGATTTTTGTAGACACGGAAATGTCGTGCCAACGTCTATGCCTATGACGTATATACTCTCAGTGCAATAAATTATTTCAATCCATTGATTTATGTCGTATATAAGAGAACCACCTCATCCACAAATTATTTCAATCTATTCATTTACGAAGTATATAAAATATCAAAACCAATTCTGGTATGAGATTTTTCTTGCGTTTAAGTTTCTTTGCATCCATTCAGTAAGTATGTTTAGATAAATGTTTTATTTTTATTTATTTATTTATTTATTTTAATCCCAGTGGCAAACCACCAAGTCTGGTGGGGTAAGGTCTAGGCAACCCTTACCGAGTTTTATTAAGATAGTAGGAAGCCATAAACTGAGGGGAGGACTATATCAAGGCCTAAGGCCAGCCCCTCATACGGAAGACAAACCTTCCGGGGATACAATAACAAATAAGGGGGTAAGGGAACCTAGAACGGCTTGACCAAGGCCACAATAAGGTCTAAACAACAAACAAGCTAACTAAGGCTTGATCAAGGCCACAATAAGATTGAAACAAACAACATACTAGTCTAGGGCTTGACCAAAGCCACAATAAGGTCTAAAACATCAAACCAACATGATAATCCAAACTCACACCAGGCCAACACGAGCATAACCACACTAAGACAATAAAGGCCATACGGAAAGGCATGGCAACACAAAGAAGTGGTAATCATCTCCAACGGGAGGAATAAAAACCCATCCAAGTCAAGCACTCCTTACTCCACAAAAGATATTATAAGCGCATCCATAATATCCAAACTTCTCCATAACCCCAGTATAACCAGTAATGGTTTAAAAATTCTTCAAACAATGCAAACACAACCCCCTAGAAAGTAGGAAAAGGAAAAAGAGCGCACCCAAGATCCAAGTTCTCCATACCCCCGGGTAGAAAGGACTACCTAACCAGGAAATGGCAACACAACTACATGCCAATAAGAGGCTCAGGTTAGCATGAGCTAGAAGCTGAATAGCTATGAACCTGCTGAATATCATGTTGACAAAGGAGCTGACATTGTGTAGGTAGATCAAAAATACCCAAAAAATCCATACTAGAATGAAGGTGATTACAACACCATTGGACCAGATAATTAGTAACACAATTAGTATGACCATCACAAAAATCAGTAGAAGAACTGCAGCATGAAAGTAAAAATGCCAACCTACTGATATGGTCCACAGTAAAAAGTGGGATAGAAAGATTAAGGAGCTGTAGCATCTCCTTAAAATCTGCTTCCCAATAAAGGGAAGTATACTGGTGGTCCCTAAGTGCTGAGATACAAAGTCTAGAGGGGGGTGAATAGACTTTGTTACAAATTTAAAACTTTTTCGTTTCTTTTGAAAACGTGAAAATGAGTGTTAATCTAGAGTTCTTGTGAACTTTAGATTGTGTGCGGAAGTTGGTGGGTAGAGTAAGCAGTAATCAATATGGATGGGTTAGTTTTCACAGTTAATATAATTGCAAGTAAGAATAAAGATAAAAGAGAGAGACACGCAAACTTTAACGAGGTTCGAAGGTGGGGTAATCCTTCTACGTCCTCAAAATCCACTATGTAGTTGGTTGTTGAATAATGAACCAACAAGTACACTTGTGTGAATTTCTGCACGGTATATCTTCGCAAGGCCAATGTTGCTACTGCACTCGTGCTGGCTTTGTTGTTCCTTCGAAGATCACGCTTCTTCAACAACTGCAAGGTCCGAACAATAGGACTTGCAAGACCAACTTGTAAGAAAGTTGACCTACCCCCTTTCAATCAATAAGTTTGATCAAAAGTTATATCCTTCAACGTGGTGTGGTACTTGAGGCAAGGAAACCTTCAAGTATTTACACTAAAGCTCTTTGGAAGGAGGAGAAGTTTGCTTCTGGATAAGGAGTTTAGAAATCTCTCTTTATCAAGCTTTTTGGGCTAACTGTGAATGAGGTAGCCTCTTTGTGGTTGTTCTTCTTATCGTTGATGAGTTCTCTATTCTTCCCCAGTCTTCCAAGGATGCTATTTATAGCTAGATTGGATAGTCTATCCGTTGAATCAAAATAGACTAAACGTTGCATTTGCTGGCTTCAATTTTGAATGAAGATTGTGATTTGAAGATTCCTCATTGGAATGGGTGTTTGGACATACCCAATTGTTAAAGGAGGGATTCCTTTTTCCATAGAATCCGTCTTCTAGCTGTTGTTCAAGAATTCTGGACTGTAGCACTTTACTCTGTTTGTCTTCTAGTGCTTGTTTAGGAATTCTGGACAGGTTCTTCATTTTTTGGAGGTCCAGACTTTGTCTTCGAGTCATTTGTTCTTGAATCAGCATAATTATCTTCAATCTAGCCGTTGAAAATCAAGAGATTGATTTTTTCTTACCAACAGGTAGAATTTCTTCATTCAAGACTTAGATAATTTTCTAAGTCTTTTCTCACTTGTCCGCTTTTTGAGAATTCCGGTCTTCCTTGAGGCATCCGGTTCTTAGCTGACAAATCCGGAAGAGTCATACTCAGTCTTCCAGGTGAGAAAGAAATCCGCGCTAGTCTTTCGACTTAGCCTTCAGCGGGTTGTAACGAGACATCCGGTTTTCATGTAGTCTTCCGGATAGGAGGATTTTCGTCTGCTTTGAGAGATCCTTACTTGTCTCTGAGCTTTCCGATCAAGATATCCAATTTCCAAATTTCAGAATTTGATTAAGTATTCAGGCATCAAACCGCTTAAAGAAATATCACAACTTTATTGGAAATCTCAAGAACTTGGTTTTAACAATATTTCTAAAAGGAAAAAATTACATTGAATATCTGGGGAGACCTAAAGTCTCTATTACATTCTAAATACATCATCATCAAAATCTATGATATTTTTCCCAACATATACCCAGAAGTTAAACACCATTGCAGTATGATCAAGAGGATATCCATAGTGGCTCCCAGGGCTGAAGCATGTCCAACACTGCCATAAGCATACAAGAATATACCTTTGGAGTCCCTAACGACAGCACCAATACCAAATTGATGTTCTTTAGAGAACATAGAGACATTAATTTTCACACTGTTTGGAGGAGGAAACTGCCACATCTTAGTAGGTGTCTAATAAGAACTGGACAGATGGCCATTTAAATTGAAAATAGTCTTCCAATCAGAAAGATTTTTACGGAGGTTAGGCCATTTCCTAGATGCAGCTTCCACAGCATCCTGCCGTATTTTAAAAATAGTCAATGTTGATTTGTTTCTCCCCATATTTCACAGAAGTATAATGAACCCAAAGTTCCCAAAGAATGAAAATAGACATACATCGTTTTAATAAAATCCTAACAGTGTATTTTTTAGGATGTGATTTAGCTCCCCACCAAACATTAAAATATTGCTTAACAGTGGATATGCCTTGTTCATTCAGACCAAACAGCCCACAAAAATATTTCCAAACAGTTTTAGCCACCTCACTTTGTGCAAATACATGCTCAGTAGTCTCACAAGTGGGTTTGGTACAACAACTACACTTGGAAGGGAGGACATACCCAAACTTTTGCAAAGTGGAATCCGGGGGGAGTTTCCTCACTAAAAGTCTCCAGCCAAAAAAGGACATTTTAAAAGGAATATAAGTGTGCCAACAATTCTGTAAGTAGATATTAACATTACCACAAGGCCTTAAGATCTTTGACAGCCTTCATAGAGAAAACTCCATTGGATTTAGGTTGTCAGAGAGCCTGATCAGCATTATTTGAGCCAAGAGCAGAACGATCTACTTGAAAATGAATGAAAAAACCAGGGTCCATGAGGGACTGTAAGTGGTCAAAGTTGAAAGATAAATTGATTAAGTACTCCTTGAGAAGTTGTTGCCAATATTTACCATGTGCCTGATTAGTCACCCTTGCCAATGGTCGCAATCCAGTCCAATTATCCCACCAAAAACTCAAAGAAGCATCATAAACCCTCGAGGTGATGTATGGCTCAATCCTAGATGTAACGAGAGTCATTCTTTTCCAAATATGAGATTCACCATATTGGCAAACTTTAGCCACAGGATGAACCCTAGAACAGTATTTAGCTTTCATAAACTAGACCCAAAGAGTGGAAATGGTTCTAAAGTTCCACCAAAGTTTAGCACTACATGCATCCACTATATCTTGCATTCTTGTGAAACCCAAACCCCCCTCCTTAGTAGGATAACTCATATGTTCCCAAGAGCTCCAATGATAATGGAGTTTTTGCTCAGATTGTCCCCAGAAAAAATTAGAAAAACTCTTTTCCATCTTCACAAGTACTGCTTTAGGTGGAGCAACAGCTGAAAAAATATGGGCAGGAATAGCTTGAAGAACACTTTTAATAAGGACTTGCTTGCCTCCAGAAGATAAAAGTCTCCCTTGCCATCCCTGACACTTTTGTGACACTCTAGCCAAAATCTTGTTAAAATTGCAGCACCTCATCCTTCCTTTATAGATAGGTGAAAGAATTGTTTAAGAGGAAAAACACTTGTATATGTTTCTGTATCTCAATATACATGGATGAGTTACATATATAGTGTAGAATCCTAGGTAATAAAGGAAACTAAATAATATATACGAAAATATTTCCAAATCTTCTCAATCTTCTCTTTCCTTTTACACCCCCCTCAAGTTGGAGCATGTAACGAAGTAATGCCCAACTTGGGTATAAGAAACTCCAATCGTGACTTCCCAAGTGCCTTCGTGTGAATATCCGCAAGCTGGTGCATAGTAAGAACATGAAGAGCACGAATCTCTCCGCGTAATAACTCATCACGAACGAAATGACAATCTATCTCAATATGCTTCGTTCGTTCGTGAAAAACTAGATTAGCGGCAATGTGGAGTGCCGCGGTACTATCACAGCGAACCGTCATAGGGTCCGTATGCTCAACACCCTAACATCGTAACAAATTCTTTAACCACTTCAATTCACAAGTAAGGACAGCAAGAGCCATGTACTCCGCTTCAGCAGACAAACGTGCCACCGTTGTCTGCTTCTTCGTCTTCCACGAGACCGGCGACTCGCCAAGTTGTACAAACCATCCCGTCAGTGACCGCCGTGTCAAAGGACATGCTGCCCAGTCCGAATCACACCACCCGGTAAGCTGAAGGCTACTATCTGCAGAAAGAAAAATGCCATGTCTAGGACATCCTTTTAAATAACGAACTACCCCAAGAGCCACAGTCCATTGATCCTCCCTTGGTTCCTTCAGAAATTGTGTTAAAGTATGCACGGCATAAGAAAGCTCTGGTCGTGTAACAGAAAGATAGACCAATCTTCCTACCAACCGCCGATAAGGTTCTGGGTCTGCAAGAACTGGGGCTTGAGAACGAGCCAAATGATGATTGGGCTCCATTGGGGCACCCAATGGTCTGGCACCCAACAACCCCGCCTCAGTAATGATGTCTAAAGCATACTTTCTTTGACAGAGAAAAATTCCAGATGTGCTCCGTGCTACCTCGATGCCAAGAAAGAACTTCAAAGTTCCCAAATCCTTCATACGAAAACAATCTGCCAAATAATCCTTGAATTTGCGTATCATCTCGGTGCTATCACCAGCAATGATCAAATCATCTACATAAACCAGAACATGAATCACTCCTTTCTTTCCAACGAAAGAGAATAAGGAGTAATCGGAGACGGACTGCACAAATCCATATCTTCGTAATGCTCCCAATAATTTTGCAAACCAACATCGTGGAGCCTGTTTCAAACCATACAGGGACTTCTTGAGTTTGCACACCATATCAGACGAACTCGAGAAGCCAGGCGGCAACCATACACCTCATCGTGAAGATCTCCATGTAGGAATGCATTGGGAACATCCATCTGGTGCAATTCCCACCCTTTGACCGCCGCAACTGCCAAAAGTGTTCTCACAGTAGTCAACTTGACTACAGGAGCAAATGTTTCTTTGTAATTGATGCCTTCAATCTCATGATTGCCAAGTAGGGGCGGACATGGTACGGTTCCAGAACCGCCAGTTCCGGTACCGCCACCCCTTGGTACCGGTACCAGTACCAGATCGGCCGGTTCCGGTACCGTTTCGGCCACCCATAATTTCCTTTTTTAGCTTTTTTATTAAATTTTTAAAGTGTAAAATTGTATATGTGTAATTGTTAAAAGAAATGATGAAATAAAAAACTCTAAAAATGAAATTGATAAAGGAAAGAATGAAATAAAAAAATAAAAAAAAATAATTACGGTACCGGAACCGGAACCGGTACCGCCGGTGCCGGTACCGAAAAATGGGCACCGGAACCGGTACCGGAGTGGGTGGTACCAGTACCGGTTCCCGGAACCGGTGGACCATCCCGGCCGACGGTAACGGTACCGGAACCGGCAGTACTGTTTCCGGTCACGGTACCGTACTAGTACCGTGTCCACCCCTATTGCCAAGTATAACAAGCCTAGCCTTGTATGTTTCCACACTACCATCAGATTTGCGCTTGATTTTATACACCCATTTGCATCCAAGAGCCTTTTTATGACGCAAAGGAGAAACAAGAGACCACGTCTCATTAGCCTCCAGAGCATCAATTTCTTCTCGCATTGCTTTCCTCCATCGCTCATCCTGGAATGCTTGTTTGAAGTTCTTGGGCTCGATGTCTTTATCAAGTGCCATGAGAAAACACTTATGTTTCTCAGAAAACTTCTCATAAGTAACATAGGAGGAGAGCGGATATTTGCACTTTCCCTCAGTAAGTGGACCAGCTACATGTGTGACATAGTCCGCAAGCCTCACATTTGGCCTCCTTTCCCGTTGACCGCGCCCCAAGGTCTCTGTTTCTTGCTGGGATGAGGAGGGTCGACCGCCATCCGTGGAACGGTCCACGGGGTCAACCGTCTGTGATGGTTCCTCATTGCCTCCTTTCTGCCTTGGGGACGATCGACCGTTGCTCTCATCACGGTCGACCGTTTCTTCATCTCCCTGGAGTCTGACTTTCTGCCCCACGAACGGTCCACCGTGTCTCTCAGAACGGTCCACCGAGTCGACCGTTGGTTGATCTCCCAGGATTCCATTTTTCTGCCTCGATGACAGTCGACCGTGAACATCAGAACGGTCCACCAGATCGACCGCCGGTAGCTCAGCTGCTTTTTCGCCTTCTTCCGGTTGACCGTTCCTCCGTGGACGGTCCTGCTGCTCCTCCGCCAGCACTTCATCATCATCATCATCATAGTGATCAGCTGGAGTGGGGCTGCTTGATCCATCGTCATCTAATGTTTCACCTAGAGTCATCAAATAAGGAAATTTGTTTTCACAAAACACAACATCCCGTGATCCGCTTATTTTCCAAGTGTCTGGAAAATATACACGTCATCACTTCTTTCCTTGTGGATAACCCAAAAATATTCCAGGAATACTTCTAGGCGCAAATTTATCCCCATCTCTCTTCAAATTATGAACGTAACATCTGCAACCAAAAATGCGAATATGAGTTAGTGCAGGGGCCTTCCATAAAGTTTTTCGTACGGCGTAACCCCCCCTAAAAGAGACGAGGGTGTTCGATTGATTAAGTATGCCGCTGTTTGTATGCATTCTCCCCAGAAATCGATCGGAAGCCCTGCCTGAAATCTCAAAGCACGACCCACATTCAAGATATGCCGATGTTTACGTTCAACTCTACCATTCCGCTGTGGTGTAGACACACAAGATGTCTCACGAATAATTCCTTTTCCAGAAAATATTCTGTCAAGCATTCAAATTCTGTACCATTATCACTTCGAACACACTTTATCCTCTTCCCAAACTGATATTCAACCATGGCACAAAATTGCTTAAAAACTCCTCCTACGGTACGCTTAGAATCAAGCAAATATACCCACACACCACGTGAAAAATCATCTACGATAGTCAAAAACATTGTAGAACCATCCAAACTTGGTGTCCGATAAGGACCCCACAAATCACAATGCACCATATCAAATTTATCCATAGATTGATGAAAACTGATAGGAAAACTAGCACGAGTTTGTTTAGCACGCAAGCAGACATCACAATGACTATGACTATGTTTATTCAAACCAACTACAGGAACTAAGGACAAAACATGTGAAGAAGGATGTCCTAGACGTTTGTGCCAGAGGTCAAATGAATTCTTCTTGGCAGCACTGCACACCATGCTCCTCTCCTCCTTCTTCAAATAGTACAATCCTCCTTCAAGTCTACCCACACCAATCGTTGTCCTCAAACTTAGGTCCTGTAAGATGCACAAATTATTGGTAAACTTTGCTTCACAATTCAAATCTCTTGTCAACTGTGACACAGAAATCAAATGACAGTTCAAGGTTGGAACAAACAACACATTTTGCAAAGTCATAGTCTAGTCAACCTTTCCAGATTGAACAGACACAACCCTTTTTCCATCGGGCAATCCAATTTCACATGGAGACGCACCCACCACGTCATATAATAATGAAAGATCACATGTCATATGATTCGACGCACCAGTATCGATTATCCAACGAGGTGACACAGGAATACCTGAGAGTTTTGGTGAGATGTCTGTAGGGGAGAGCGAGAGGGCATGACGAACCGCATTCCATTGTTCTGGCGTCAAGTCCTCAAAATTTGGCAGCGGAGATGGTCCTTTTTCTTCTCCTTGGACAGCATTAGCTTCACCTCGTCCGCCCGTGACGGTCGACCGTCCAGCTACCACGGTCGACCGTCCGCCACCCCGTGCAGTCCCATGACCTCTTCCTCGACCGTTTCCTCTTCCTCTTCCGGCCTGATCACGGAACACCCAACCTTCGGGGTACCCAATCAGTTTGTAGCATGCCTCGACCTCATGTCCTGTTTTCCCACAGTGACTACACACAAGTTCTTTGATCTCCATCTTATTCTTTACGGAAAACACAGAAGCACTCGCTTCACGGCTTTCTTCTTTGTGCATACCATTTCGTGATGTCTCGTCTTGGACAACAATATTGTATATTCTTGCCACCGATGGTATTGTAACGCCCCAAAAATAGACCTATCAGAATTAATTAATTGATAATTAATTAATTACTGAGAAGGACCCAAAAAAATATGTGAATTATAAAGTTTGTCAATAAATAATAAAAATTATATCGTTATGTAGAGTTTGACTGTCTGACCGCAACGGTTCAATCGGATTTTAATTTGGAGAAAGTTGGACCAAAAAGTGTACCCCGACTTGGACCAAAATTAGTCTCAATCAGGGACTTGCGTTTAAAACCCGTAGAAGATCGCCGTTTGCTCCACTCAGCCGCTGGAACAGGGAACAAGGACATCACCATGGCTTCTTCTACTAACCCTCTACTATAAAACCCCCAAATTGTCCACCATTCTTCATCATTCTTATCCCAATAGAAAGAGCCGAGTGTGAGGAGCGTTTTAGTACTACCAATTTGGTGTCAAGTTGCCGGAGCAAGCTGTGGTGTTCACCGGAAGTTTCGCCGTCTTTTCACCGGAATCATCGTTTAGCATTAAGGTAAGCCCGTAGATATATCTAATGACTAGAATGTTCATATAGGTCGTTTCTACGTTCATAAATGGTCATTTGGTTGAGTTTTGTGTTTGACATGCTTGAAGAACTAAGAATCATAAACCATGAAATTGATGTTAAAATTATGAATTAATGATGCTAAAATGATCCATGAACCTT